AAAATTATACAGGAAACGGAGTACAAAAATGAAAATACTCGTAAGTATGCTCTTAAAAAGAAGTAGAAATGATGCTGATTAATTTGTTCGTTGCGTGGTTACTGAAAGAAAAATATCTAAATGAACACGCCTTTTGCATACGTAGCATGCACGCTATTTGCACACTAACTATTGGCTAGAATCGTAGGTGGCGTGTGAAAGAAAAATGTTTGGATGTTTTTTCTTTGATGACATTTGTTTTTAAATAAAAAATAGATACGACGGGTACCGTATAAATAATTATATATTTTCCCCGCATGGCATAAGAGAGGTGATTGCGAGTGGTGTATGGCTGTCACACTGTATGCGTAGGATTTTTTGTTGTAAATTTTCTGTACATACTGGGGTTCGTCAAAGATCGAGAACAAATAGTCCAATAGAAATGGACATTAAGAGAAACCAGATACCATTGGTTTACTGAGCGAGACCAGACACTATTGGTTAACAGATACCACGATGACACATATTTTGTGAACTGACACAAATTTCACTGACCCTGTACACGAATTTTGTGAACTGACAAAAAAAATGCGATAGGAACCCTAAACCCAGCAAGTTTTGACTATTATGATGTATGTATGACGATATTTTTATTATACTTTGCAGGTATATAGTTCGGTACTGTAATATACAACAAATAATTTCAACCAGACCGGATTCCAAACATTCCTATTTCAAAACGCGAAATTATGAATCTACATTTCGAGCTCGGCTCACTCCGCCTTGCGGGGAGTTATGTATTTATATTATTTATGTATGTAATTAGATTGTAGAGTTGTAGACACAATCATTTTATTTATGTACATACTAAATACTAATTTAGCCCCCCTTTTTTTTTTTAAACCCATAAAAACCGTTTGTATGTACAGTTATGTACTGTTGAGACTTGAGACTGTTGACTTTTCAATTTATATACGGGTCAAAATGAAAAGACTGAAACTCTTGATATGTCGTCCTTCAGACGTTAGTCCAACTGATCAGCCATTAATTTTCACCTCTCTCTCAGTCTCTCTGTGTGTGTGTGTGTGTGTGTGTGTGTGTATTAAGTGTAGAGAGAGAGTAGAGAGATGTCTGATAGAGTGATTTAGAAGGCTATGCTGTTTTAACGGCCAGCTGGCAGCCCGGCACTCTCTTTCTCACTCTCTTTCTCGCTCCCTTTCTCGCTCCCTTTCTCGCTCTCTTTTTCGCTCGCTCTCTCCGAGAGAAGTGGAGGGAATTCTTTTGAAAACTTCGAACTGTCTCTTATTTTTTTGTTTTGTTTTGTTTTTGGTTTTTTGTGTTTTTTTTGTTTTTATTTAAAACAACAAACAACCCAAATTTCAAATTATATGTACATTTGCAAACATACATAGTTATAAAATTTCCATATATAGTAATAAATATTTACTTTTCTTAAACACCTCTGTTCGTATGTATCGTATATAAAAAAGCATCATGTAGTCGCCTATTTTAAATATACATATACAAAGGCTGAAAAATTCACTATAAATATAAAAGCTTCACCACTGGCCAGAGAAGCGGACATAATCTCTCGAAGCTCAGCGTCTCAGGTAGATTTTAGCTTCAGGATGATATTCGAAAACACAGGCTACACTGTGGTAGGCTGCCTGCTTGCCATTCTCGTGTACATTGTCGTCAGATTCACTCAGAAAGTAGACGAAGCTAAGCGTATATATGGCAACGATTCCGAGGTATGTGCGTATTTACTGTGTATTGTTTGCACTGGTTTTTACGGTAGACCTCATCGAGATGTGATGAGCTGAATGTAGTGAACGTAAATATTGATACATATATAGATTGATGGGCAAGACGAATACTCTTGTAAGTAGCTGTGATCTGTATATATAGTGGTCATATACGCTGGAAAATGATTTGATAATTGTTGCTGAATTATTCCTGGACCGCAGCAAAATAAGGCTGTAAAAAGGCATTAATACGTGTATCTGTATCTTCATTAGATCATACGCCTAGACTAGCAGAGGTTCCAAAATAGCTGCACAGCAGTAAGCAATCTCGTGCTCAAAATTTTATAACTGTGAAATATACCGCTGTATATGCTGTATAATGTATGCACGTCTACCTGTGTATTGCGTAGTTCGTTGAAGATTTCTTCTCATATGAACTTGCGGTAATTTCTCCCTTTTATTTCCTGATTTCGGGCTGTTCGCGTTTCCATATATATTATTGCTTTGCGGATACGCTGTAAATTTGTGAACTAAATACACGTCAAAATCTTGTTCAATCTATATTAGATAGTAGTATAGAGTCAAATACACATTGGTTTATCTTTCAATAATTTTGTATTGAATGATAGAGGCAGGTATCGAATATTGTCACAAACCTGTAAACAACCCGAATGTCCGCTCAATGGACGAGCATACTTGACTACTACATATTCCAATGAATTCAAACATGCCATTGAAGCACATGAATATATTGTCGTTGTTATCTAACGTATTTT